CTACTCTTTTACCAACGAATAGGGGGATTGACCGTCCCATTATAACGCCCACATGCCTGAAAGGGCGAACATGGTTAGTTGAACGGGGATTCGAACCCGCGATCCTCAGTTTACGAGTCGAGTGCCCTAACCACCTGGCCATGCCGGGACAACGTAATAGCAAGTTTCAGATCGGCGCTAACATTTTTCGTTATGGGTTGTAAATGTGCTCTTATCACATTCTAGTAAGAAATTCAGTTTCGTCAATCTTAAGTTAGAGCATCATAAAAGAACTTATCCATCTGTATATATCGAATTAAATAAGAACAAATCCTGTGCTATCATTAAAGGATTTGTATGTTCATACAGTAAAATCCTTGAATTTGCTCATTATTTATGTAATTCAATTAATTAAATAGAATAAACTTGTTGAACATGTTCTTACAAGTACAATTAATTTCAAGTTCGCCACACAAGATATTAGACTTTACACTGAGTAAATTATTCAGTTTTTACTAGTTTCATCATATTCTGTTGTCTCTTCTTTTTACCATGAAGGAATATTCTTACCCAGCAACTAGTGATTCTGTAAAATGTTCACACACCAAACTCAGACAAACAACGAATTAAATGCTGAAATATAAGTTGCCATAACATTGCGCTCGATTTTGTTTTGACTTATCCTCTACGTTCACCAGATTATGCACATCGAAGGGCAATTCACACTTAATGGCTGACTACAAAACAAGTAATGTTTTACTATCAAATTTTGATCACCAAATTATCACAGAGTGTTTAGAAGAATTCTCCTGAAGCGTTTAACGGCCATGATTTTATCAGGCACATAACGATCGAACAATCACATTTTGTAGCCTCAGCCGTTTTAGCCCTCAAGCAACACACACACACACTTTGGATATCAAGAGCGATCCGTATATTTGGTTCAATTAACCTTCCTTAACCTGCTCTGAAACAGATTGGCAGTCTGGATATGCTACTCATACAGTGAGAATTACCGTTACGGGAAAAGCAAAAGGACAGAAAAAGGGAAACAATTAAAAAATGCAATTTCTAAGGCTCTGTGATGCTTCACTTCAGCAAGGATAGAAGCAACAGAAGCTGACGAAAGGCCAGATCGGTGCTAACATTATTTTAACCAAGGATTTCGCTCTAATTATAGTGAATCTAAAGCAAAGCCTGGGGAACTGGAGAAACTAAATTAAAATTTCCCTATAATGATAGTTAATCTAAAGTAAGGCCTGGAGAAACTACATTATTATACGTAAATAGCAAGAATTTAATGAGAGAGAAAGTACAGATCGAACTGTTTAAAAGCTCAATTGTGAAATCCACTTACGATAACCTAATCTATGGTTGTAACATCGTAAGCTGGTATTAATATATTCTTTAACTTATAAAACAGTAAAGAAACTATGTAATGTTAATGCATAAAACTGAACTCGTGGATAAATCCTATGCTTGCCACTGCTTTCTGTAATAATATAAGTATTATGGTAGCATATCAAACCCTCTCTCTCTCACTGCTTCTTTATACGCAAGTCCACCTTAATTACTCAGTTGCTCATATTTGCTTAAGAGAGATCGACAGTTCAGGGATATGAGATAGCACACGCTTCATTAACTCAGGAGATGAAAATCCAGAGATCCTGGCTAACGATGATTGATTTGGTTTGCTGTTGCTTGTTTCTGAAAAAAAAAATCGTAAGTAATACGGTAAGTATAAATATAGAGTAAAGTACGCTATATGAAAACGATTTGGAATATGCAAATCAGCAAATCACGTGATAACCACAGCCAATATAAAGCCGCAGTGGAATAGCACGTATTAGATTTACATTTTGATATTTGCTTGACGTTACATAAGTGGTGTAATTCCTGCCCAAAATTGCTTGGCTTTGGGAAGGACGTGTAACAGCCCTTTCAGAAACAAATATTCATACAATCAGATCATAAAGATGGGTTCAGATCGGGAATTTCGAATTCCCAAGACAAAGGTATCCATTGAACTTAGTGGCATTGGAAAACAAAAGAATATGAATCAACAAGGGGTACCAGAACCATCCAGAAAGAGACTTATAACAAGTCGTGATAAGCAAAGTTAGAACACGAAAGTCTGTTGAAAAAGCTCTTCAAGGCAACAGTGCGTATCATAATCAAGAAGTACCTGCGTCTGGAAAAGTGATACAAATAAAGTGTATAAAAGTTACTTCACAAAATAAACGTTCAACCATCGCATGCATTGAGCAACTGGAGACTGAAACAGATATTCATGCTCTTCTATAAGAAGACATATTGATCTAATTGCCGAACTCAGTGCTTGTAGATTTCTGTGCGATGGGAATGTTGAAACGGGTGCAAGGAAACCGTCATCCTCGTAAACTTGATGGCTTATGGAAAACCCAGGGAGGAGTTTACGGTGGAACGTTTTGGAAACTACACTAAAATGGTTATTTTAAAGATTTGTGGTTGTCAGATAGAGCATGGCATGATATGGCGACATGGACGATGGATTGTAGTGATGAGATTCCAGAATCTTTTTAATATAACATGTTATATGTAGTGCATATGTGTGTTTGTGTGTAGTAGCTATATATATATAATACATACACACCCAGTATATATATATATATATATATAAAAATGCTTATAACATTACACGAGGATTTCAATTATTATTATTTTAATTTCTGAGAAAACTGACAATTTCTTTATCTGTTTTAGTTAATATAACTTGTCATTATGGGTGTTCAGTATGTGGATATTTTGAGTAAGATTACGCACATGCACTAAAAATACGTATGCAAATATATGTACGTTATTCATTCAATACATTAACATGTACAATAAAATAGCCAACGTTTTAAAAAATATGTAATTCTAAATTTAATTAATATTTAATTACACTAATTCATAATTTACATAGCCAAAACCTAGAAAGAAAACATGTAAAAAACAAACCAAACAATTTATGCATATATTATTATTACAATACTTAAAATATAGCCCCCCCCAGTGACACAGCGGTATGTCTGTGGACTTACAACGCTAGAATCCGGGTTTCGATACCCGTGCTGGGCAGAGCACAGATAGCTAATTGTGTAGCTTTGAGCTTAATTACAAACAAACATAAAATATACACCATTACATAATGTTGGAAGCAAAATATGTGTAGGAGATCGAAGATGGAAGACCATCAAACTATATATTTTGGGAGCATGCTCCCACAGAAAATTTTATAATTAGAGTAGTAATTTATGCCAGTTGTGGTACAGCGGAGGCTCAGATGTGGTGCAATTCAGAAAAACAACACAAACACAAGCGAATTTAATGCGAGAATAAAGAGTTGAATGACTAACTTACTTGAGTTTCTATTATATACCTTCGTTTCTTTATCTTATTTTTTCGCCTTTTTTTCTCCAACTACTAACACCTCTCCCCTTCATTAGTTCAGCGTTAAGTCTGAAGGCTTATTTATAAGGCTAAAAACCGGGTATCGATACCCGTGGTGGGCACAGCTCAGATAGGTCATTGTGTAGCTTTGTGATTTACAAGAAACGAACAAACTTCCAGCTACTAAATAATTTCTGAATATATATTTAATTATTGTAGGGCATTAAATTTGGCCAAAAATAATGAATTGGGAGGGCTGAAGTGGGGTTGTCCTCTGTATTGGAGATGTGTACCTGCCCCTTCCATTTTCCAACGTCCAGTGATAGTTATGGATAGGTCAAAATAACATAAGGTGTGCACAACATTACAAGCCCACTTGTTCTCTAACTCTTTCCATCAACGTGGGGGTAACCAGAAACAATCATCACAAATCGGATGCGCAAATGCAGGTGCACCCTGCTGGCTCAGTTGCAAGCTCGAAGGCTTTATAACTCGTGGTGGGCACAGCACAGATAGCCCATTGCGTAGTTTTGCGTTTAACAAAAAAAACAAAAAACAAGCAAAATCAAAACCAAGTACCATAAAAGAAAATTAAAGATATTATTTTTACGTTTCCTATTCTTAGCATTATAAGTACTAGTGCTGTTACTTGAAACTAAAGCATGGAAAATTGTGAATCTATTCACATTAAAATTACGGTTATTAAAATAATTCAACAACATATCAGTATGCCGTTTTGGTTGCTAACTTGTTGGAAGATTAGGCTGAATACTCCATACCTCGTTCGAGGTTCCTTTCGTAACAAGGTCTGTCAACAAAAACTGGGTAGTCACTCTTCAACGGCCATATGAGACAAGACTGGTAGAGCGATTATGAGACACGGGAGTAATTTCTTGTTGTGAAAACACGGAAACACTTTGTTACTTCAGCTCGCGCCCTGAACCATACTTTCTATCTAACGAGTTACTCAACAGAATGCTGCGTTAACGTTGCACGCGCGGTTTCCTTTGCAAGCGCGCGCGCTTCCAGAAACAACGAATCGCAACTCACGCAGTTGTTGCTGGAACGCGCCTCGCAGAGCCCCAGCCATCGATCTGTAAGAGGAGAATTTTACCCTGGCAGCATATTTAAGCTAGAAAAAAAAATCATATTATGATTCTAGAGAGAGTCAAACCTAAATCAATTCTGTTGGTGCGTTAGACGGCGTCGAAAGTTATTCTTTATAACGTCTTTGTTGTCATATTGACCACATAGTTTCAGTCTTATGGTATCCATCACCGTTTGTTGAAAAGCCCTCTCTTCGACGCCTATCCTTTCACTTTAGTTCAAAGAAAATATAATTATCAGATTCTGGAAAGAAAAAAAAATCAATGCACAGCGCTCCCTCCATCGTATTGTAGAAAGTAAAGTAATACCCAGAGCTTATATTAGCTTTTCTGTCGCGTGGTACAGTTTCAATAAAAACAAAAACTCAACTCATCTCACAGATAAAACGAACGTATTTCTTTGAAAAGAAATGTGTTATTTAATAGACTTAGTGAGATATCTTAAAGTAATTAGAATTATAACGTTTTTATTAGAGGATAAGTTTGAAATATTTACTAATCAGGAATTCATAACTTTTTTAAATTCCTTTAAAGAATTGAAATGTTTCAAGGAGTCGCCGCTAACCAACAACACCTTTGAAATGACTTAAAAATTAATGATTTATATTCTTGAGTCGGCAATAAAAAGCAAATGCTCCTAAGCCATGTTATTTCTTAGTATCTATTTTAACCTATTGATGTATATAAAAAGGTTTTTGGTTCTCCGTCTGTTACGAAACTTTGTAGTTTTTATCGAAATCCTCCAACTATAATAGGTTGATTTTATACGAGACTTTATGATTATTCTTTGCAAGCGCCATCTGCATTTCTTATTTCGATTTTTTATTGTTCTTGTAACGTGTCAACACATTCCATCAGGCACCAGCAAGGAGATTCATTTTACTGTAGACGTCATCTTCAAAATAAAATCGATTAATCTACTTGTTTGTGTTTTGTGAGCAAAATATCATTTCTATCATTTAACGTATTCAAAATTTGGGGAGATTCTTTATACTTAGAACATATATTATTATATGAGCTAGGATTGTTTGTTTGTTTGAAGCTAAGCATAAAGCTACACAATGGGCTATCTGTGCTCTGCCCACCACGGGTATCGAAACCCGGTTTCTAGGGTTGTAAGTCAGTAGACATACCGCTATGCCACTAGGGGGCATGAGCTAGGAATTTCAATGATTTATTTATTATTTCTATGCAACATCTTGAAATTAAAGGCTCTTGCAAGACTTTTTCATACGTGAGATTTAAATAGTCTATTTCGTTAGAACTTTTCTTATAAAAACCCTGTTACATTTTAGAATATGTTTAAATAAAGATCATTTTATGTAGGTTATTTTTTATTCTACGTGTTCTAGTCGTAGTTATGCTTTGAGATTTAACAAAAATCGTAGTTAGACACAATTGGGTATGGCACTTGTTTATAAATGCTCAAGGGTGAAAAGTAGCGCGTGGAATGTACATGTAAAATATTGAGAAGAAAACATAATGAAACCAATAACCAACTCTAGTGATGTCTTTATGAAGATCTCAGAGACATAAAATGACAAAGAATGAGAAATTACATATATATATATTCCTGCATCCCTATCACTCTTGCTCTAATGTGTAAGATTAATGGCTTTCTTTTTTGTTTTTTCGTGAATTCATTCCCTTGTATGGTTGAAGAAATAAGTTACAAGAAGTTCTTGAAGAATCTTGAAATAATAAATAAGTGAGATGTAGTTCTTCATATTAATCAACTGGAGATTAATTACGGGCTTAGAGTTTGCTTGTAAATTGTCAAGCATTAAAAAAGAAGAACTAATAGCACAGACATAGAAACTAATTTGGATAAAGTGATAGATGAGAACACTAAAAACGTAATTAGAACTGAATGTCATAAACTTGTAGGGAATTTCAACCCTGTGAGGAAGAAACAAAATATAGATATAAAAAACGTAAAATCATTAAGAGATAGTAAAGATATTGTTATTTGTAAAGCACATAAAGGAGGGCAAATGTTAGTGTTTAATAAATGTGACTAAGTGAAAGGTGTGAAAGACTCATTAAATGAAAAACTTGAGCTCAACCCTACGAATAAGTATCATGAATTAGTAAAAACAAGTGTTAAAAATTGGTTAACTTGAACAGATGCAAAGAAGACTAGGTTAATTCCAGCTAATTTTATTACTCCGTGATTTTATGTACTTCCAGAAATACATGAAATGAATAACAGTTTTAGACCAGTAGTATGAACTGTAGGTACATTATCATATTAAATAGCCAATTATATAGCTCAGAAATATTCTTGTTTGAGAAATAAAAATAAATATACAGTTAAAAACGTTTGAGAATTTGTAGAGAAAATCAGAAATGTAAAGTTGAATAATGAAGATTTGTTAGTGTCGTTTGATGCAGTTTCATTATTTACAAAAGTTCCAGTAGAAGATGCAATTAAGTGTTTCGAAAATACGTTGTTAGAAAATAAGACTTCAGCAGTTGAATTTATGGATATAATCAATTTAACAAAAGTGTGTGTAAAGAATCTATTTTGTAGGTTAACAATGATTTTTATAAACAAAATCAAGGGTTAATAATGGCATTCCCACTTTCACCATTGCTATGTGGATGCATTTGAAACAAAAGTCATAAATGGTGCAAAATGTAAATCTGATATTTGAACAAGTTATGTAGATGACACATTCTTGGGGTGGAGATATGGTAATAAAACATTAACAGAGTTCGCACGTTATTTGTTTTGAATGTCCCTAATTTAGCAGTGTAAGACTAGAAGGAAGGCAGCTAGTCATCACCACCCACCGCCAACTCTTGGGCTACTCTTTTACCAACGAATAGTGGGTTGACCGTCACATTATAACGTCCCCACGGCTGAAAGGGCGAGCATGTTTGGTGTAATGGGGATTCGAACCCGCGACCCTCAGATTGCTAGTCGAGCGCCTTAACCACCTGGCCATGCCGGGCCACGTTATTTAAATAACATAGAACTGTCTATACAATCTATCCATGAAATTGACAAAAATAATAGTTACAGTTTACCTTTTTTAGATGTCTTGGTAAAGAGGAATTTACAAGGTAATCTAGAAACATCTATTTATCGGAAACCCTTTTCTGTTCTTATGCCTCCACACTAAGAATCATGTCATACTAGATCACAAAAAATATCTGTGTTTTACACTTATGTTCACAGAATTTTGTACAAAACAAGATGACTTTAAAAATGAGTTATTACGAACGAAATATATAGTAGTTAGCAGAAGATTTAACCCAACTATTATAGATAAAGTAGTTAAGAAATTCACTAATGTGGTGATAATGGATCAAGGAGTTACCTTAAAACCTAGTTATGATAACATTAAAAAGGAATGTTTAGCGTTTCCATATGTTCCAGATTTAAAAACAACAAATATTTCACTCCATATTTAAACAGATAAATACACTTGTATCCCACTGGGAGCAGCAGTAAGTCTACAGACTTAGAATGCTAAAATCCGGGGTTCGATTCCCCGCGATGAGCACAGCAGGTGAACGAATGAACATAAATTTCTTAACGCCAAAAACTGGAATTTATAAAATTGAACGTGGAAGTGTATATATTGAACAGAACATAAAGGATGTGTAAGAAATGAAAGGACTGAAAATTCGACCATTGCAGAACATGTACATAAAACCAACATAAGATGTTATGGGAAAAAACAGTAATATTGTCTCAACCAAAGAGCCAATAATATAAGTGAATACAGTTTAAAAAAGAACATGAATTATTAAATAGAGACGAACGTCCAGCGAATATCTATGTAATAATGTGTCTGGACCGCCTATAACAATTATACAGAAATAGTAAACCTACACACAGGTCACATGACCTAGTCAAAAAGAAATAAATATAACACTTATGTCTTGGAAGTTCATTCCTGATGATGACGTGGTAAACGTCGAAACATGCAGAGTCCACATTTTAGAGGCTATAAATAGGCCTGAATAAAAGTATTTTTAATTGTGTATCTATTTTACCTTTGTGTGTGTTATTTATTTATTATGTTCACAATATATTATTACAAGGGAGGGTAAAAGTGTACGTACATTTAATATTCTCTAATCTACTGGAAGCCATTTTTGTGATCTCGGAATATCCCCCGTTCGCAAACAAACCAGTCTGAACTACTTGAATTCCTGCATCGGAAACCCAACAAATACGATAAGCCACGCAGACTCAGTTTGCTGCCCAATAAAATGCTCTCCATGTAAAAAGCTTTGTTCTTTCCAACTAGTAATATCTTACTCATTATAGTTTTATTGCACGTAATATTCTTTCAAATACTATATTTGAAATTTAAAACTGCCTCTCGAAGGGAAAAATGTAAAGAAGGTTATATTTTATCCCACAATGAGACATCTCAAAATAATTATTTTATTAACGAGCTTTTAATATTAAGATTAAATTTAGTCATATAAAATGTCGACTTGAATTGATCTATTTTATCAAGAGACGAATATGACCATTTACTCAGAGAATGTGCTTTCAGTCAAAAATTAAATCATTAAACAAAGTAATTATTAAAACGTTATTTCATGAGCATAATCCATTTTTCTACAAAAAACAGAAACAAAGTTATCCTTCATTCTAATATCTAGTTATCTATAAGTAGTAATTTTATTTTGTTTATTCCTCGTTTTAAGATTTAAGCGTAGTTAATCATTTTACAGTGTAGCATAACAGTAACTCCTTTTTTGAATTATGCGCAAAATCATTAACAATAAATGATAAATAAACACGCGTTTTCAGTAAACTGGTATTTGAAAAATATATCTAATATTCTTTCTGTAAAATGCAAAAAAAAATATTAATAACTATACATAATTTTCAAAACATTAATAATCACTTTTTCGTACGACTTTGGGAAATTATGCGTTTACCAATATAATAACGTCCTCTTCGTTAGCATATAAAATAGTATTATGATCAGATCACTTTAATTCTACTTTCCAACACTAATACGAGGAGGGGAGCATTTCGACATCCTGACATTTTGCTTTATTTGACAAACCAAAAAGGCAAGGCTTACACTTTATCTCATTTCCATTTTTGTCAAAGAACGCTGTTCTGAGGTACGAAACATATATCAACTGCTATCTGCCAATTTATTGTATGAACCAAATTGTTACTTATAACAGAGTTGAAGAGGGTAAACCCAAATGCACCTATCTTTCTATAGGAACTGGTCAGTTAGATTGGAAATCTTATTTGATATGTCCTGTGTATTGCGATGTTGAGGTAATTTGAATGGTGATAAACTGCCGAATAAGTAGTAGCTGTAGCCCAGTTGATATGCGCAATTTCTTACAATGGTGGACACGGTTTAGAATCCAATATGGTGTTTGTGCTGGCATCCATTGAAACATTATGGAACTTATTTGGTAGTTACAAATGATCCAGTTTTTAAAATAGAATATATTTAAACTGGACTAGTTAAGCGTATCTATAAACAGCTTGTTTATGTTGACAAAGTTTGGGTTGAGAAACATGACATTACAGTTTGTGTTCTTCTTAGTTTATTTCCTTGTGACTAGTATCTTCCCACTCATTTACCATAGATTTATTTAAGTGAACGTCTGGGCAGCAATCACCCATAACACTATCATTGGTCCGTTCTCTTTTTGTAGAGGCAATTGTTGCGTAAAACATACACCTTGACATGCTGCAAATTTCTTCTTTTGACACGATTCGAAACATTACCTTAACAGCTGAACCTGCATTCTTCAGCCTATGTATTCTTTTAAGGGGGCTTCATAAAGGGCATGGTTTATGTTAATAAGGTTGCGAGTAAGGATGGATCACGTAAGCGTATCCAAGAAGTCTTCACAATGGTTACCCCTGCAATGCTACAAAACACATGGTAGGAGAATGGGTACAGACAGGGAATTTTGTGTGTAACTCGTAGTGCGCATGTTCAATCATGGTGAATTTATGCTGTAAAAAACTTTAAACATTATTCTTGAACGTGCAATAAACTGTGTTTCATTATTTTAAACCGTTTTCCCGGTATGATTTTTCAAACGTGTTTCAAAACTTCTTGGGCACCCTGTATATAATGTGGTATATAATGTATACTGGTTAGGCAGAATTTGGCTAGTATATACAATTTAGCAAAATAATATTATATGTCTTTCCTTAACTATTTTCTTTGTAATACAATATATATATAAAATGCTTCCATTGCTAATGTCCTGATCTAAGGAAGAGGTATAATAATTATAAACTTTCAGAAGTTGGAAAAAGTTTATGCCAATATACAAAATAATAAGTTACATATTGAGTTCTTAAAGGAATGTAAAAGATCTAAATTGACACCAAAATTTATTGAATTTAAGACATAAAAAACTGAAGAATAATAAGTACTGCTATAAAATACTGCCCAAGTTCGCAAATAGTTAAATAGACTATACTAATGTGTTTGTTTGCTTGGAATTAAGCACAAAGATCTATCTGTGCTCTGCCCACCACGGGTATCGAAACCCGTTTTCTAGCGTTGTAAGTCTGCAGACATACCACTGCGCCACTGGGGGCAATATTTAAAGAATAATTTTAGTTCTCTTAGGAGAGTATTGCATACTTTAGTATAGTGGATGGATTTTCCTCATTGTAAACGCTAGACTCCTGAGGTGTCAGAGACGTGTATGTGAGAATTCATATCCAAAACGTAAAACCATCGTCATAACGTTCTGCTGTCGAGAAAAGTGAATAGGAAGTAATAATGGGGAGCTTATATACAGATCTGGGATAGGGGACTGATTTGACGTAAGTGAAAGGAATCAGAAGATTTCACTTGCTATAAGCAATATAGTAGAATATAAAGGCTGGAGCATGTGAGGTAAGATTCATACCAATGCTTAGATGGGCGGAGAAGAGAAACTTTCGTCGGGATAAAGCTGAAATGTGAGATGGTGGTAAGTGTGTTTCAGAAAACCTTTTTTTTTCCTTTGTATATAGTATAAAATAACACAAACAAATGAAAGCCACAAATTATATTTTATTGT